AGAGATGTTGTTTTCTTTGAAAATACTTTCCTTTAAAGGAACCGAGATTAAATGTCGAAACACAAATAGAATATATTTCATCAACTTCTTCTAGTAATCATGCTAGGTCTTCTGAACAAATTGATTTTGAGCCTAGAAGAAGTAAAAGGCAAAGAGTTGAAACCTCTTTTGGACCAGACTTTATTACTTCCTTTATTTCTGAGATAAATGATTTAGACTTTCTTTCTGATCATATAACTTAAATATTATATGAGGATCCTAAAAAAGCTATAAGATCTATCGATGCTAGTTTCTAAAAAAGCGCGCTATTAATGATGAACTAGAATCGATAATGTCTAATCATACTTGAGATTAGTTGACTTGCCTAGAGGATTTAAACCAATATGTAGCAAATGAATCTTCCGGAAGAAAATGAGACCAGATGGTTTGATCCAGTGGTAAAAGGCAAGGCTAGTTGTCAAAGGGTTCACTCAAAAGTTTATTTTAGACTACTTTGATTCTTACTCTCCCGTCATGAACATCTCAACGACCCGTGAATTATTTGCACTAGCCTCTATTCATAAGTTGCAAGTACATCAAATGGATGTTGAGACTACATTTTTGAATGGAGATCTAGATGAGGAAATCTATATGGGAACAATGGTACAAGAAATTTCAAAAAACTATACTTAGTTTTGGTTTTGTTGTGAATGGTTCGGATGCTTGAGTGTATTCGAGGATGTTTGGTACTGATTACGTCATCATAAGTTTTGTATGTTGATGACATGTTGATTTTCAGTTCTAACATTGAGTCCATTAACAAAACAAACAATTTCTTGTCCACTAAATTTGAGATAACGGATCTGGGAGAAGTTGATGTAATCTTAGGAGTCAAAATTACTGGAAAGGGATTTTCTTTATGTCAAGCACACTATCTTGAGAAAGTGTTAAAGAAATTTGACAGTTTTGATGTCGTCCCTGTTCGAACCCTTATGACACTAGTATATATCCCCTTAAGAATAAAGGAAGTAGCGTTTCCCAAACAGAATATGATAAATTCATCGGAAGCTTAATGTTCTTAATGAACTATACTCGGCCTGATATTGTTTATGCTTTGAGTAGACTAAGTATATATACTCATAATCCGAGTGGTGAACACTGGATTGCTCTTAGACGTTTACTGAAGTATCTTAAGGGTACTTTGGATTAGAAACTTGAGTTTGTTGGCTATCCTGCAGTACTGGAAGGATATTGTGATGCCAACTGGATTTTTGATAATGATGAGGTAAGCTCTACGAATGGGTATGTTTTTACTTTAGGTGGAGCAGTAATCTCGTGAAAATCATCAAAGAATACTTGTATTGCTCGTTCTACCATGGAGTTAGAGTTTATAACTCTTGACCTAGCTGGGCAAGAAGCCGAGTGGCTCAGAAGCTTGTTAGCAGATATTCTGTTGTGGGAAAAACCGACTCCTCCTATTTCTTTGTTGTGTGAATCGCAAGCTGTGATATGTGTACAATGGTAATGAAAGAAACATTCGCATAAGGCATGAATCAGTTAGACACTTAATAAAGAATGAAGTGCTCTCTTTAGAGTATGTGAAATTGGAAAGGAACCTAGCAGATCTTTGGTCCTAGATTCATCGAGGGGGATGGGTCTAAAGCCCATTGGTTGGGGAATTCATGGTGGATACCCAACTTAGTTATCTAAGTTCCATGTGGTCAAACGAAACCATGGAAAGACTCATAGTGCATATTCCTACTGCCTATCCCTATGATGAATAATGTGCATGCCCAGGATGAGCTTAATTGCTCTTAATAAATTCATAGACCAGGATTTAGGTGGTCTTAGTGAGAAAGACTTGATGCATTTACCGATTTTGGCTGAATATCTATTCTTAATAAGTTCATAACCCAGAGTGAGTGGGTAGGAAATGATGAACTTACCGACAGAAAGGTTGAGTTTGTTAAACTCTTAATAAATTCAAATCCAAGTATTTGGATGGTTCTAGTGAGAATGACTTATTGAATTTACCGATAAATGAGGTTGAATATTTATTCTTAATGACTTCTTAGCCCAGAGTTTGGGTGGTTCATTTATAATGAACTTGAAGAAAGTCACCATACCCTTTGTGAGGTTGAGCTTTTATAAAAGCTCTTAATTATTTCATATCCCTGTTAAGGGTGGTTTATATCAAGATAAACTTGATGAAATAACCTATGTAAGTGAGAAGGGTTAGCCGCCTTCTATGAAAAATGTTGGGCCATTTTTCTAGCACACTTACTAGAATCCTGAGGTAAGATGGCCAAATATATACTTTTGTATATATATATCTTACACATCGAGGACTCAGGTGGATGAAGGGGTTAGTTGTGTGTTATGAGTTTATCCCCATCTTAGAAAGTTCCAGACTAGTTTCACTTATCTAAGAGAAGGATTGCTCATCATCACTATGTACTAGTTCCAGATACGTTCACTAGTGCTTAAGAAACTAATCTCGCTATTGCTCTTCTGGAAAGTTTGTTTTCGAATTTCAAAAGAATTCTTTCGCATTAGTGGGGGAATGTTGGTAATGATCAATCCCACATAGTATTGGAAACACTATTGAGAATGGGTATTTATAGTATGGAATTCCCACTTCCTTATTGTGAAAGAGAACAAGGGGGACTCTAGCGCACCGCCGCCGCCGCCGTTCGTCTCATTGCGGCACGACACGGCTCGGCTCGGCTCATGGTCGTGGTAATACGTGTCTTCGACACGTCTGCGATGATACTATCTGTTTAGAGAAACTTCTTGAGGAATTTCTCTTTGAAAGAAACAAATGGAAAAATGTGAAAGATTTCAACTGATATTTATAGGCTGCTGAGGACTATTTAAATTCAAATGATAACAGTTGGTTTATGAGAGTTATCAGAAATTAAACAACTTTTCCTAAATTAAATCAAAAAATGTTAAGATGTATTTGGACTGATTTCCAGCTTTGTACAGAGGGGACAAGCTGTTAATATCAGGAGTTACAAGAGTTATTTGATTTAATTCCAGGGGTTACATGATATAATTTCGGGAGTTATAACAGCTGAATAATGATGCAATGAACCTGGACTATTTTTGAGTCAGGTTCATCTAGACGTTTCAGCTGTTACAAAAGAAGAGATTTAATCCTGAAATTTTATGACGATTTTAACCCTATTTCTAGCCTATAAATAGAGGGCTATATTCAGCTTCTCAATTCACTCTCAACATTCACAATTCACTCTCAAAGTGTTTTCTGCAATTATTCTTTCTGTGCTTTCCGAAAAGAAGAGCAATACCACCGGCAGTCCACTCCGATTTCGGGTGTACGGAATTCGGAGCGACTGTGTTAACCTCGGGGGATGGTCCGCCTACTGCAGTGATTACATACATCGGGGCGAATTCGTTTCTAAGGTAGTGGTTATACCACGACACGGTTTACGAATATGTTCCTTTTAATTACTGTTTATATTTCCAGTCAGTGCTAACGATGTAGTTTTGCAGTTCATATATCCAACAACACTTTTGAGTTCCTAACATTTTCAACGTTACACTTTTAGGTGCCTACAACTTAACGGTTGTTAAATTCGGCCATTAACTGACATGTGTCGCTCTCATATTTTTTGAAGTTTCTATTTTATGCTTCTTTAGACTATTATTAATTTTAAAAAGTAATTTTTCTAAAATTTAAAAAATAAACAAAAACCTTAAAATCTCTCATTCCAACCCTCATACCAATGGTCGTTGATCATCAGCGACTGCCTTCTCCATCGTCAAATGGTAATCCATCCGTTGTCGAACCTTTACCGTTGACCATTCTTCTTTTCGTCGTCTCCAACTTCCAAAATCCATAAATCCTTAAACTTAATACTCAAACTCCTAATTCTAATCCTAAATTTATTATTAAAATACAATTAATTGAATATGGGGAGGATGGGGAAGAGCACAGGCGAAGGGGAAGGGTTGCATAAGAAAGGGGGAGGGGAAATGCGCGGGGAGGGGATTTTTTTTAAATTGAAAAAAACAATTCTAAATAATTTAACACCTATTATGATTCACACATTTAAATGTGTAACATTAAACACATATTTTTAATGAAAAATATTTAAATACTTAAAATTAATTTTAAATATAATTTGGACAATTATTTATACATTAAGCCAAAGAATAAATGACAATGACTCAAATAGAAAGGATCAAACAGTAATCCAATCTCTTGAGGGAGATCTTTGACCGAGAGGAAAACTACTTTATAATATCAACACCAACCATGTTAGATTGTGGTTGTGGTAGATGCAGTTGCAGTGTTTGTAATGGATGGATGCGGTTGTGGTATTAAGATTGCAAATGTTGTAGATATTTCATAACACAATGAATGTTGCATACGTTATTTTTTTATTATTATTTTTTTAAATTTCAATACTTTTAAATTACGATTAAAAACTGTTATGATACAACTATTATATTATGTTACGATCGTAATTTAATAAATTTAATATTATATAAAAAAGACCAATGCATAATTTCATAAATGGTGTCAGAAACAAAACCACCAAAAACCTGATATATGCACACATATAGTTCAGAAACAACAAGATGCTTATGCACAGTAACCTTTCAAGCTTCCATGAAGTATCATGTCATTAATTTGAATATATTTCCACAAACAGGAAGTTACATAGAAAACTGAAATACATATTTCCTATAGCTTCCAATTATATAACTTTTCAATCTTACAGCCTCGATGCATTTATTATTGATCAAGATATGCAGCTTATAAGCTTGAAGAGAACAGTCGATCTAGGAAGTCCTGAGCCCTTTCATAAAGCATAAAAATTACTCATTTATGAACAAATTTAATGGTGCACGGAGAGGCTGAGTCCAAGAACAAAGTCATCAGCTTTAGACAACAGACAATGAAAGTAAGACGAGGGTATAATCAGAAGAAAAGGGAAAACGTTCCAAATCACACAAGAAAGCTCATAACTTATATATATCCCTTTTAATCTAGAAGGAATTTAATTAATTGCTGCCAATCTGGGACCCAAATTGCAGCTACAGAGGAGCAAGATCCAGAAAATATGTACAACAGTAGTTCTTCAAATACAAAGAACAATTGCAATGACGAGGATGAATAACAACCCACCAAAATATCGAGATAAAGAAAAAGTCTTTGCACATGCTTTGTTGAATCGCACAATTAAAGGAGTGAAATCAAGTGGAACGCTTCGAGTTTGAGGAAACCAAACGCCTCCACAAGTAACGACCACTGGCCATGTCGACGCATGTCCAGAACCCTGATTCTATGCCTTGTCGGACCTAGTTCAAAACAAATTGATGCTTTTATGGTTAAATACAAGAGGTAGAACTAGAAGGAAACAGATATGAAGAAGAAGAAGAAGAAGAAACCTTGGAGAAGGCGGAGGGGGAGTTGTGGTTGATATCGGTGGTGCGGAGATCACCGTCATAGGTGGATTGGGGCTGGGATTTGACGTTTCTAATAAGGAGAAATCCGGCGAGAGTTGCCGACAGAAAAATCAGGATCAGCCTCAGCGGACACATTCTTCCAAATCTCTAATTTACTATGACGTGGGGTTATTGTATTATTTATTAACTAGCAGATTGAGTCACCGACGGACTATACTGTCCGGGTCCGGATCTAATATTGATTATACTCAAATACCGGAAAATAATTATTTTCTTAAATTAATTTCTAATTTCAATTGATTTTTAAAATCATATTTTTTTCTGATGATTGTGACAGGTATTCAAAATCATATTTTATTACTAGTGTATTTTTTTTAAAATATAATATATTTTTACGTTACATAACCCGATCTATCAATAAATGACGGAGTTTTATTAGATGAAATATAAAACGTGAATGATAGAATACGTTTTCTTTAATTATTTTTATTAGTTAGGATAATTATAAAGTATTATTTATTTAATTAATAATAAATACAAATATATTGTAAATGTATTTGTTTAAACATTAAATATTTAAAGAAAATAATATTTTTAATAAAAAAATTTAATAGTTATTTTTAAAATTTTGAATATAAATTTCATAAAAATAAATATTTAAAATTCGAAAGATAATTTTTATCACGTTATTTTCCTAACCATCTTTTAAAAAAAATTAATTTTAAAAAATTATTATTTATTTTTGGAAAATTGGTGATTCTTGTTAAAATTTAATTTGGATTAATTTAGTTTGATTTGGAGTCACCATCGACATTTAAGTTAAGTATGTCAAATACTTAAAAGTTTCTTTTAAAACAATTTTAAGAAAAATTATTTTTTAAGACAAAAATTAGTCTACGATTACCAAATATTCATTTTTAAAGATTCGGGAGTTTATTACGATTGGGGAAGGATTAACACCCACAATACCTAAAATTGATACTTGATCGCTTATACGTTGTTGTTGCAATGAAATTTGCAAACTCGAGTAAAAAATTAAAATACGACCCTTTTTATCAAACATTGATTAATTATTTTAAATCTCAAAATTGCACAAAAATGAAATCGATTTATTTCAAGTTCACTTTTCATTCGAATGTCTATCGAATTACACTACTTCTATCAAGTTATGATTTTCACACCCATTCTACGAGAAGTGTTCTTGAAAATATGTACGAGTAGATAAATAAAATTAATATTAAGTACAAAATATTGACTAAAGGATATTTTGTATAAATAAAGATTTATAACATATATAAATATATTAGGTCTAAAAGATATCAAATAAATTTATATGCATATGTAATAAACGTATAATAATAAGATATAAAAGTACATATTTCAAATACATAATTAATAAATTGCTATAATACATAAATATAATCTAACGTATAATTTAAAGAAATTCATATATGTAACTTAGAATTAATGATTTATAAAAAATGAAAAATAAAAGAGGTTTATATATATTATATATATACGGTTAGAACATTAAACATGCACATAAGTTCTTGTACTAAAAGAACTACGGAAGTATTAATTTTTATTATTCCTACAGTTTCAACAAGACAAAGACCAAAATGAATTCATAGCAAAGTTTTAGTGATCAAAAGTACAAATCATGCATCTTCTAACATGTAGTAATCAGAGGACTAAAATGAACTTAATCTTAGATTCTTAGACATAATCATATATTCAAACAAACTATAAATATAATAAAGCAGTGACTAAAATATAAGCATAACATAATTTAAAGCTTAAAGTAAAAACAGTTGAATTTCTATTAAATAACTAAAAATCGTTACAAAAATGTAAGACCCTTCGCGCATAAATATTCCCTCCCATACATAAACCCATAACAATGATGCATAGCAGCCCCATGCAAACTTAAAAGCAAATTAAAAAAAATCCCTAACTTTGGTAAACTTTCCCCTTATCAGTCGTAAGAACACATCTCCCCTGAGCTCTCTCTCAACTCTCTCGGTTCCCTTCAACTTCCCTTCACACAGCTACTCATCGACGACCAAAAGAGAAGAGAAAAGAGTCAAATCACTAACCCAAGCGAAAACCCTACCTTCGATCTAGAGATTTAAGACAAAATACCTTTGGATCCATGAAGATTATTTTGCTCCAACAAAAAGATTTGCATGATCGTCGATAAAAGGGAAGTTTTCTTTTCTCTTCCTCTCTATTTGTCGCTTTTCTTTTTTCTGCTCTATTTTTTATTTTTGCTGGATCTCTCTCTCTTTTTGTTTTTCTTTGTTCTTTTTCTGCTATGGTTGATGATCCTTCCGAATCTGATCTTGTATGTTATATATATGGTGGCCTGCGTGTTTGATGAGGAAGAGATGGCCAGAGAAGGGGGTTGGTGAAGTAGTTCGGTGGGTAAGGTTGGTAGCACAAAATTTGAGATTTTTAATGTCTCAAATTTTTTGGAATTTTTAATGTTTCGGATTTTCAAAGATTAGATGGTTGGCTTAAAAACGGCGACTGCGTGACATCAACCGTGGCAATAAGCACCAATGACGACGTTAAGTGGCTAACCCTAATCTTGAGTTAGCCAAAACATATTTATATTGTAGGCTTAGGATTTTAGTTTGATTTATGTCGGTTTACTATAATTGGGCCTTAAAAATATATATTACTACTATTAGAAAATAAAATAATTAAAAATTAAAAATGATACAAACGAAAATTAGTGTAAACAGTTGTCTCAGTTTGTCTATTGCTTTGAAATGATAAAAGGATAAATAATTTTCATTCGATTCTGTCTTTTGTTTTGAATTTTGATGTTGTCTCGAAAGAGATTTAAATAATCATTATTTCAAGGGAGATTGAAGTCTTCATTTTAAGGGAAATATTTTTAAAGTTCTGGTTCATGGAAACATTTTCAAAAGAGTTGAATTTTATTCATTTGAAGAGAATAATATCAAAAATTGCACTTTCAAGATAAATAAATTTTAAACAATACAAAATTTGTTTCAAGAGAAACGAGGTCTATGCTTTGGGTTCCAAAGGAAATTGTATCGAATCAGATAAAATTACTTTTAAAAGAAACTATCTTATGTGAGATAAATGTTTCGTTTTCTAGAGAAAAAAATTATCTCGAGTAAGACAAAATTTTATTTAAATTTGTGTTTCAAAGGAAACTATCTCAGGCAAGAAAAAAATTTATTTCAAGAGAAACAATCTCAAGGGAGACACAAGATATGTTCCTTCGCGTTGATGAAGTCTAATCGTCGTTTGAGGACATCGGGTTTGTCAACAAAGTTATTCCTTCATGATGAGGGAAAATAGTCGTATTTGAATGATTGTGCATCTGAAGACAAAACTATTCTTTCACGTTGAGGAAGTTCGATTTCTTAGAGATAATTTGATTTTGAAAATGACATTGGTCATTCGTGTTGAGGAGATCTGGTCGTTATTGAGTGATTTGTTCGATGTCAAATCTCATGATGACATTGTTCATTCACGTTGAGGAAATCTAGTCTATGGACGACATTGTTCCTACTTGATGAAGACGTCTTGTCATATTTTGGTAATTTACTTCTTCGCTTGTGGAAGTCAAATTTGAAGATAACATTACTCCTTCATGTTGAGGAGATTTAGTTATAACCAATCATTTCCTTCCTAAAAGGTTCGTAAAAATTATGCATATATGAATATGTTGAATGTTTTTATGAATGCCAGGGTGAAATTCATCTGATGTTTTTGATCTTTTCAAGAACGAGCTTTAAAATTTTTCCTTATAAGAGGTGAAAATGGAGTTACATAAGACAAAATATTGGAGAAATTTAAAGGTATCCTCGTGAGAATGAAGTCTAAGTTAATTATGTTGCATGTGATGATAAATGTTTGATACAAAGATGCAAATTCATATAATATGTATGTATATGTGAATGCATGTTTTATTGTTCAGCAATCGGGAATGGTTGCATGAGAAGTCTTCATTCTCTTTCTAGTTTTGTCATCTTCAATCTTGTTTACACCTGAGTGTATCCTTACAATTCTTGACTTATGTCAACTTGTTCTTCTTGCCCCACCAAATTGTGCCCCAAAATGTCATTTTTTTTTCTTACATCTATTCTGATTATGAGCTTTTCTATTTGACATTTTCCAATATCCAAGATCCACTCTCAGAAAGACTGCCTTGTTTTAAAAATGTTTTTCTTCCTTTTTTTATTTTCAAAATTTGAATGAATAAGTTTTGAAAAATGCTTGATAAAGAAGTTTTGAAAAAAATTTGATGAAAAAAATTTTGAAAAATGTTTGATGAAAATATTTTGAAAAAATTGTTTGATAAAAGAATTTTTAAAAATATTTCCCCTTATTTTAGGTTCACATTTTAGACAAATTATAAAACAAGAGGTCCTCATATATCAAAGAATTAACTACTCTCATAATCTTTCAAAGTTATGACTCTTCAACAAGTGTCAAGATTTTGCGGGTTGATTTTAGGTTGGCTTCCTAAATTTTCTAAGGTTTTCATCATTAAGTTGTAATTGTCCGTTTTTTTTGTGTTCGTGTGAACATTATGACATGCTCCTTTGTTGAGTTAATCGATCGGATAAATCGACCAAGAGGGGGGTGAATTGGCAATAAAAGTTTTGGTGGAAGCTTTTGCTGAAAATTGAAAATATTTGCACAACGATTTAGAGTGGTTAGACTTTCTCAAACAAAGTCTGTGTCCACTACCTTAGCTATCCACACTAAGGATTTTCCACAAATTCACTAATTTGTCTTTCTTTTGAGGACAAAGAGTAACCTTACAAATCCCTCAAGAATTATACCCCAAATTCTTGAGAACACTCTTTCCCAAAGAGAAAATTACAAATTTGCAAACTTTACAGAAAAACCTCACAAGGCAAGATGTTTGCACAATTCTAGAACAAAGAAAGAACACTCAAGAATAAATACAATTGAGCACAAATGGTGTTCTTGAAAGCAAAATGAATATTGAATGGAAAATAGGCTTGAATTTCTCAAACTTGAGGTTTGATGCTTTCTCTTTGATTCTCTCTCAATTCTTGTTGATCAATAGCTTCAGAACTTGTTTAAAACAACCTTGGATTGATTTTGAACGTTGGAGATCATTGGTGAAGTCAATAGAGC